TTCTTTTCTCACTACACATGATGGAGACCTTCACAGTTCACTTCAAAGGTTTTGGTCAATCGAAGAACCCCCGACATGTGTCAAGACTCAGTCAGAAGAAGATGTTCTCTGCTTACAGCATTTTGAAAGAACCCATACACGTGATAACTCTGGTCGATATGTTGTTAAGTTACCGAAAAGACCAAATCATCCACTATTAGGTGAATCTTGTAGTACAGCTCAACTTAGACTTAAAGCGATGGAAAGAAAATTTGCTGCTCAGCCCGAATTCAAAGATTTATACTCCAAATTTATGGATGACTACATCAAATCAGGTCACATGAGTGCATGTGAGCAACCCCTTTCTGGTGAATGTTACTATTTACCCCACCATGGAGTATTTAAGGAGAATCCCCCTAATTCCAAAATACGAGTCGTATTTGATGGTAGTTCCAAAACAAACAATGGCGTCTCCCTAAACGATATCCTCATGCCTGGCCCTAAGTTGCAGAATGATATTAGTGATGTCTTGCTGTACTTTAGGTGTCACAAGTTTGTGTTCACTTGTGATATACGACAGATGTATCGCCAGATTCTGGTGGCTGAAGATGACAAGAAATATCAGTTAATCTTTTGGCGATCCAACCCTGATGAATCCCTTCAAGTCTTAAAGCTAAATACCGTCACCTACGGTCTCAACTGTTCCCCCTTCATTGCGATCAGAACATTACAACAATTGGTCAAAGATGAGGGTCACTCATACCCCAAGGCGTCTGAGATTCTAACTAAATCAATATTTTATGACGACATCATCGCTGGAGCAGAAAGTCTTGATGAAGCTTTGTCTGCACAGAATGAACTCAAGAACTTGCTCTCTAGAGGAGGTTTTGAGCTCCGAAAATGGATTAGCAACGCATCCCAACTATTGGACCAAGTCCCAATTGAACACAAAGAGACTCCAGTGGAGTTAACTGAAAATAGTGAAGCCTTCTTCAGTGTCCTAGGCCTAAAATGGACTCCAGAGTCCGACATGCTTTCTTACAAGGTTAAGGATGTTGAAATAAGCGCTATACTTACAAAGAGAAGAATATTATCTACAATCGCTAAACTGTACGATTTACCAGGATTTCTTACACCCGTAATTTTCTGGGCAAAAACACTTATTCAGTATCTCTGGACAACAGGGCTAACTTGGGATGAACCTGTTCCAAATGATGTTAGAACCAAGTGGCATTCATTCTTAGAAGAACTCCCAATAATTCAAGAATTAAGAATTCCACGCTACATTTCTACTTCTCTGCATACGGCTGTGCAACTCCACGGCTTCAGCGATGCTTCAGAGAAAGGCTACGCCGCTGTTGTCTACCTTCGTGTCACTGACTCTCAAGAGAAAACAAGGATCTATCTCATCGTCTCTAAATCAAAAGTCGCTCCTTTGAAAAGAATTTCTCTGCCACGGCTTGAACTTTGTGGCGCTCACTTACTGGGAAAACTCCTTCAATATTCTTCAAACATACTCTCTGCTCATATGAAGATTGAATCAATCTATGCTTGGTGTGACTCCACAATTGTCCTAACCTGGATACGTACTCTTCCATACCGCTTGAAAGTCTTCATTGCCAATCGTATTTCAGAACTCCAAGAATTGGTCTCTCCTCACTCATGGAATTATATCAAATCTCAAGACAACCCGGCAGATTGCGCCACTCGTGGTCTTTCACCTTCTCAACTTGTGACTCATCATTTATGGTGGAATGGACCGGAATGGTTACAGTCATCGTCAGATTCTTGGCCTAAGCCAAAATTCACACCTGTTATTGATGATGACACTCTTGAAATAAGGCCAAATCCTCTAAACGTTCTAGCAACCACAGAGAAGATTAAACTCACTGATTTTGATGTACTAGAAAAATATTCATGTTTCAGGAAACTTGTAAATGTCATGGCATATATATTGCGATTCATTCATAATCTGCAAGCCAATGATCCCCGCATCGGACGACTGACTTGCCAAGAAACTTCTTCAGCGAAATTAAGAATTTTCAAACTCATACAAAATACATCATTTAAGGATGACATCTCTGCTCTCAAAAAGGGATCTCAATGCAGCTTAAAACTTGCTCGTTTATCCCCATATATTGATGACAGTGGAATAGTGCGAGTAGGCGGCAGGTTGAAACATTCCAACCTTACACAAGATGCGAAACATCCAGTTTTGTTACCTAAATCTCACTGTGCTGTCAAACTGTTGATTATGCATTATCACCTAAAGCATCTACACGCAGGCCCTCAATTGCTGCAGTCTATTCTGTCTCAAGAGGTTTGGATATTATCAGCCCGCAGCGTGATAAGATCTGTGATTTTCAAGTGTCAAAGATGTTTCAGACTTAAGCCTGTAAACAAACCTCCACTGATGGGAGATCTTCCTGAAACTCGATTAAAACCTGTAAGGCCATTCTATCACACTGGCATGGACTATAGTGGACATTTTGACATTAAAGTTCATTCAACTAGGAACACTCAACGGTTAAAATCATACCTCTGCCTCTTTGTATGTTTTGCTACGAAAGCTGTGCACCTAGAAATTGTAACAGACCTATCTGTAGACTCCTTCATAGCTGCACTAAAACGTTTTGTTTCTCGTCGTGGATTGTGTGCCCACTTATACTCAGATTGCGGAACTAACTATGTTGGAGCCTCAAAGCAACTCATGAAAACTTTTCAGAATTTCATCAAGGAATCAAACACTAAAGATGCTCTTAACAACTTCGCGTTGGATCACTCAATAAATTTTCACTTTCAACCACCAGCCGCTCCCCACCAAGGAGGCCTATGGGAGAGTGCTATAAAAAGTTCTAAATATCATCTGAAAAGAGTCATAGGCGATAGAGTTCTAACACTAATGGAAATAATAACACTCGCTACACAGGTGGAGGCTGTACTAAACTCGAGACCCTTAACAGCGTTATCCGCTGATCCATCTGACATCTCAGCCCTTACTCCGGGTCATTTTCTTATCGGCACTTCTCTTGTGGCAGTACCGGAACCAAATCTTGAAGAAGTTCCCGAAAATCGTCTCAACCATTGGCAAACTGTACAAGCCCTACATCAACGCTTCTGGCGACGTTGGCATCAAGAATATTTACATCAGCTACAACAAAGAAAGAAATGGGAAAAGCCCAACAAGAAAGATGTCAATCTTTATTCATTATGTGTCACTTTGTAACTTTCTCAATGTTTTGAACCATGTATGGTTCAAGGCGGGCGGCATGTTCCGTATTCAAGCGCTATCTAGATATTTCCAGACGTTTCATATCATACAATAACCTTTGTCCTGTCACGTGATGTCTGGAAACCCCAATCTCGCCCCAGTTCTCTTGCATTCATGCAACCACTAACATGTCCCCGGCACAATTAACTCCCAATTGCTGCTCTCATCTCTTAACCCCAAAGTATATTTAATTATTATTAGTGACACATATTAAAAGTGAACTATTGAACATTTGTGAAGTGAAACACTACTACTGCCGGTCCGGGTCTGTGTACGAGCAATACGCAATAGCTGGCCAGCAGAAGAAACTCGTGTACGTCTACCGGCTTCGTCTTCTCAACACTTCAGTTAAAAGGAAGGTACCTCATCAATCTCATTATTGTCTGTTAAATAATTAGTGACAATTTTTTAATATTGCTCTTTCACTATACAGTCCATTTGAACATTTTTAGGCAAGTTTACCCCCCACTCTGTTTAAAATAATGTGTCCAGTTATCGTTTCCAAAATGAACGATTTGGTTAGGATCATAAATCACATGACCAAATCACCAATGTGTGCATCAAAGTATGCCACAGGTTATTGTGAATTAATCAATTAAGAATGGTTGACAGTTTCCATGCCGGTAGGTTGCAGTAAGCAATCGTATTGGAGCATTGTAAACTAGGCAGCTGAGCGGAGTAATTTTAATAATGACAACAAATTTATCGTCCTTGAAAATAGTCGTGGAGACTTTATAGAGTTAAAGAAGCTGTCATAATATGCTGAAGTTGCCGGTGTGATTTTATAATATGAAGCATGAAATGTTGGGATGAAATAAAACAACACAATATATTTGGTTGAAATTATAGATTATTTCTAGGTTTGTTTACTATTCAAATATTAGAATATACTCATTAAGATCGAGTCGGGCTCGAATACTAAAGTATTTGTTTTTTGTTCAACTATTAGAATTTTTGAATATTCGCACACCCCTAGTAAATATGATAACAGTACTGCGAACATTTTCCATCACGATGGTAAAAAAAAAAAAAAACAATACACAACGTTTTGGGATCTGGAATCTGATCCCGTCCTCAGGTGAAAAAACTTAACTAACACATTACAACTAACAACACACAATTGCCCAACCTAAGTTGGAATACACTACTGAGGGTAGCAGTAAAAAATTATGCACTGTATAGCAGTCAAGTCATGATACAACATGCAAATAATAACCAATCACAAAAAACTATAGTCTATAAAAGGTGTAGGGTAAAAAGCTCACACAATGGAATACTAGAAAATTGACACACACTAGAACATGGTAGTGTTCCATTGTGTTTTCATCCATTCAAACCGAAAAATAATAGTGTTGCACTCTGTTGTTAAACCTTATGTTTTATAGCTATTGAACATAATAGAACCTACTTATTTCTTTAGTTGAATCAACTGTCAAGTTTCTTTGATTCTTTTAAAATATGAATACGCATAAAATAAACATGTTAAAATTCCAGAGTCACTGGGGCGGAGCTCAAAAGGATTTTTGAGATAAGAATAAGTCTATATGTTAATCGGGAAAGCTATCATCATGCTAAATTTCAGCCTAACAGCTCACACAATGGAACACTACCACGTTCTAGTGTAGTTCTAGTGTGTTCTAGTGTGTGTCCATGTTCTAGTATTCCATTGTGTGAGCTGTTTACCTAAAGTTTTTAACATCAATAGCAACTTTGCCTTCTTTCGATTAGCATATACTGGCAGTAAACTTACCTTCTGCCTCGAGTTGCTCCTCTGTCAGAAGGAACTTTTTCAGACAAGAGTAGAGAGACCCATCACACTTCTGGCTGCTGTCAGATTCAGGTAGGTTCACAGCTATAATCGTTGTTACATGTTAGTCAGTGTTTCGATAATTTCATTTTTTTATTACTTTTTCATATCTTATTGAAAGCTGAACAACATTGTTTTCAATATACAACAAAATAAAATGAGTGATTTTAATCCTAATTTCCAGTAATAAAGAATTATGTAAGGTAATAAACAACAACAAAAGTTAATAATGAAAGGATTAGGCTATTTTAATACAAAAATATAGTTGTAGAATTATAATGGACGATCTTCCATCGAGAGGTGAGTTTTGCGACACACTGTGAAACCGAAACAACAATATTGTGATTTTTTTGCCAGATGCCACCACATATGATTAATCAGTACAGTTCATTCTTGTACTTTACCTGCCCAACCCTTTTTTTACTCAATAGATTCAACACACAGGCCTCTGAGGCCCATTCGGATGTAAGGTACCAAATTTTAAGAGGGGTAAAAACATACTGTGAATAAACAAACACCAGAACTTGCCTGTTTTTACCCACAATAGCCTACTCTTAGGCCTATGTGTTGGCCATAGCTTGGGCTATGGGCCAAAGAACGAAGGCCTAGTTTTAATCACAGTGAAATATATACACACACTCCCACGACATATTTATCAATAACAGTACTCCAATCCATCAAAAAAAGTTTAACCAACAGATTTTACAAATATTTAACGCCGACAACGACATAACATAACCCCAAAGTGGTGTTTGTTGTTAGAGGAAGACTAGGCTGAACAGATAGATGTCCGATCAGCTGTTGGCTAGTCTTCAAACTTGCCACCAGAGCGCATAAGCCTTGGCCAAGCTGAAACCTTGATTTGGGCAAGGAAGAGAATTATTCTTTTGTACTCCGTCTTCGAAGTAAATTCGTAGTTACACTCGTCCGTTACCTACGCTCACACGATCATCGATAATTCGTTTACCGAAGGTTAGCTATATTAGTTAATCACATTACCTTGATTTACGTTTAATTTTCGTATAACATTTGCATTCTCGTTTCAAAATTCGATTTTAAATATCTAAATTTAATAACTTAAGACGGTGACACACTATCGATCTTTTCCCCGAACAAGACCCCGAACCGAGCAGGGAGAAGGGAGAAGGGAGGTCGAAGGGAGGATGTTCGATAGTGTGTCACGGGTCCGTACACCGATCAAGACGCCGAACAAGACATCAGGCCGAGCAGGGAGACGAGCGCTCTGGAGGCAGTTTTTTGGCGAAAGATCAAAGAAAAGATCGGTCCGATGTACGGTCCGATGTACGGTCCGATGTACGATAGTGTGTCACGGTACATTTTTGCCCCGTACATCGTCGCGAGCGCCGCACCGAGCGGCCGCCTGCGCTAGCATTGATAGTTCTGATTTAATATGGCAATTAAACTCTTTAATTGGTAAAATAAATAAATGTTGGGTAATATGTTGCCGTTGTATGTATGTGTGCGTTGTGTGTAATGTGTGCCATTGTATATGATTTATATTATAATCATTTAAGATGTAATGTTTGTGGTTTGTTTGGTCAAGGTTGAAAGTGTAGAAACCGTTAAATCAATTATATCAATAATATTAAGGTTAAATTAAGTAATTGATGTTGACTTAAATTCTTTCAAAAATAATATAAACATTAATATTATTAAAGGCAATTAAAATGATCATTCTGTAACGTTATTTCAATGAATAAAACCAATAGAAATCAATAGATATAACTAAGCATCCTTTCTAGAATATTTTATTTTTGCGACAAGTTTTCAAAATGCGACTTTTAACAATAATTTTTATGTTATAGAAACTTTTTGGCTTTGGTCTGGTGTGCATTTTTTAAATTGGGACCAGTCGGGTAGTTTCGGGGCAATTTTGAACAGTTCCACGGCACTGCCTCCGCGCTCTCACTCGCACACACTCTCTATCTCTCTCCAAACTTCCTTTTGCCGCGCTCGGTAGAATTCGTCTGGTCTTGGTCATGTTCGGGGAAATGTTCGGAGTAAAATTTTGCTGATATTTATCTCCCTTCTCCCTTCTCCCTGCTCGGTTCGGGGTCTTGATCGGGGAAAAGATCGATAGTGTGTCACCGCCTTTACATTTCACCGACTGAGTCTAGACTTGCCAGTTCCTGCCTGCCAGTGACTAGCGGTGACTATCGTTTAGTTTGAGTTAATCAATTAGTTATGAAATTACGATTTTTCCGTTCGCTTAATGAATAATTATTTCATAAATTTACTTTATTTAGTTCATTGGTCGTTTTAATACCCCAAGAATTTTCGTCTGAGTTCTGAACCCTGTCATTGGCGGGTGATAGAATCAAGTCTTGGGAGTGTTCAGGTTTGAATGATTAATTACAAATATTAATTAGTATTAAATTTATTTTAACTGTATCATGCTAAATTCTTTGTTTGGATGTATTAATTAGGCTCCGTAGACTTAATAGGAATTTTTATGTTATAATTATTTTATATTATATACCAACGTCTTTCGCCAAATAACTTTAGTGTGAGTATTTTTATCACATTGGCTAAGATAGAAAACTTGCTGCCCTACAGAGTCTGTCTAAAAGTTACGCAAAACTCCTCCAAAAGACACAAACGAAGGTGGGGATGATATAGCTCCAACTGAGCGTCTGCAGGATTCCTGAGCGCTTCTAGGACTCTGAGCTGTCAATTAAATTTAATAAATTGATCAGTCAAAACCGTGAACAAATTCGTATCGACCTCTGGATTTTTATCGGCTCATCTGAGCACTACAGGGAAGAAATTTGAGTGGGGCTGGTTCTAGGGATAGGCCTAGCCTGACCTTGTGAATACTAGTTTATTCTCCCCCTAAGACTTAATGTCACATGTAAATGCAAGCACCAAAAATGCCGCAAACCCCTTTTGTTAAAAAAATAACAAAAAAATGTAATAATATGATATTCTGCCAGTATTTTGTTTCTATTGGTATTAGAATGCTCATATCTACAAGGCAAAAAATGTAGTACTGTATTGTTTTGTTTCAATTATCAGGAGAAAGAAGTAGTTTAAGTATTTAGGTGTAAATAGATTAAATCATATTAAAAAGTAGATTTTATTATCAAAGGACAAGACACCAGTTACTACTATTAGCATTTCAAGTAATTTTATGCTTATGATTTAATTTGAGACTGCTCTTAAGGCCTGCACACACCGGAGCGGTGGCGGTATTGGCACATTTTTTCACCTCCCCCATCCACCATCACCGCCACGGTGGTATCACTGCGGAATTCACACCGGAGTGATTCTGCACCACAACAGTGAAAGCAGAGTACAGTAATTTTCAGTCCTCATTTATGAGTGTGCGATCAACAAGTGCAGTGTGTTGTTAGTTATAAATTATGTTTACATTAGACGACGAGGAAGAAATGTTGCTATTGTTTGCTGTGGCTGAAGACATCGATCGCAAAAATAGGGAGTGAGATCAACAAAAGATCAACATGAGATCAACAAAAGGTGATTTGAGAATGGCGATTACCATACATGGGCATGGCAAATACCATAAATTGGTGCATAAACTTAGAAAAGACAAGAAACACAAATGCTAGGCTCATCACACTGGCACAACTGGGCGGTGTAATGGAACATGGTGCGGTGGTATGGACGGTATACCGCTACTGCTCTGCCGTACTGCTCCGGTGTATGCACCCCTTTACTTGGGAAAATCTTCTAGTACAAAGTCCAGCCATCTTTAAATGAAAACCCATCTCCCTAAGCAGGGAAACCATTCGTAATGAATGAAATGAAATGAAATGTGTTTATTGTCCTTAGAATTTTCACAAATTATTGACAAAGTCATACAACTGCTAAGAAGGTTTATAGCATAGTCAGTTAATAAATACAGCAAGATACAATATAGCTAACTACATAAAATGAAACATTTTATAATACATATTTTAAATATTACAATTGAATAGGTGATCTTATTCTTAAGAAAAATTCGTGGGGTTGAAAATAATGGAAGTGATTAAACCGCTTAACCAACAAAGTCCAACAGTACTTTGGTCAATTCGCTAACTCTACTTAAAAATTAATACCAGACATTTCAAAAAATTCATTTAGAGAATAGAATGGGTTGTTCAAAAGCCATCTGTAGAATTTAGTTTTAAAAGTATTTTCAGGATGTTTTCGTATTAAATGTATTAGCTTGTTGTATATTTTAAGTGAGATTACAATATGGCTTTTAAGAGTTTTAGACAGTCTGAAAAAATCTATGGCAGCAACGCTCTTATTCCTTGTATAATGAACATGAGAAAATTGTTTGATTAAGTTGGGATTTTTTAGAACGTATGATACAGAGTCGAATAAATAAATGTTAATCACTGTTGGAATTTGTAGCTGAATGAACAGGGGTTTACAGTGTTCCTGTTGGGGTTCATAAGATATAATTCTAAACAACTTCTTTTGTAAGACTAAAATTTCCTCTATCCTACTGCAATTGCCGTAAAGTATAATATTGTATCTACAAATGGATTGAAAATAAGCAAATTAGGCTGTTTTAATATTTTTTTGATCTATACAATGTATTAGTTTAGTCATAAGACAAATTACCCTTGAAAGCTTAGAACTTATGTAATCAATTTGAGGTCCCCAGGAAAAATGGTAGCTAATAAAAAAAATTTTAAACAAGTTCCTTCCCAATAAAGTTAATTATGAATGACTTGCTGAGGAGGGGGGTAACGTCTTTTAAAACTGATTTAGTAGTTCTTTTCGTCTGGAGCTATATTGTACAGACCGGGAGAAAAAGGTAAGGGTTGCCATTAGATTCCTACTTATCAATTTCATGGCCCTATTTTATTTTTTTTTAAGTTGATCCCTTGAACATGAGCACAGTATTTAGCAGCAGATTAGATCATGAGGACATCAACAGCATTTGAATGGAGGACATGGCTATTGACTCTCCATGAAAACCAGTAGTTCTATATAGATTTAAAATTTTGTTCTTGGCACAGCAGAGTCACAAATACCTGACCTCATTTCATAACTAGTTGGGTCCAGATTAGCATTGAGGGAAATAGAGTAATCCTAAAAGTTGAATATAAACCAATAATGGAAAAATCATAAACTATACCGCTGAAACATAACCATCGTCTCATAAGATCGTGGCGAGATCGTGAACGTCTACAGCAATTACGGACTTGTTGTAACCTCAAGTTCAAAGTACTAAGGCCTAGATATATGTGGTAAATAATTGAATACAGTAGGTACGTATTTTCAAAGACAAATAGTTTATTTGAAAACGAAATCATTCACGAAAATAATATTGCTAGTAACACGCAAAGATACAGCACCGCAACCACATTTCGTGTCCTGAACCAATCATTACGAGTAGAATGAAGTATTTTTATTTATTTATTTATTACATGCACAGCAAGCGCCATTTTACAAGAGAGTTTAGTTGACATTGATTGTCAACTGACATCAAGTATGAACTGTTGTCAACTACAGTAGTGCACGACATACGCAGTTAGTCAGGTCAGACGTGTTGTATATCGATGGGTCAGACCAGCGAGCGTCGATGTGTTTTAGTGTTGTGTTTGTGGTATGTGTGTGTGTGTGTGGTGACTGGTGTGAGGGATGGTGAGCGGAAGGGTAGGTGGTTGCTGTGAGGGGGGTGGAAGTGTTCTGGTTCTGACGCTACGCCGGTGCCGTCCTAGTGACTCATGACGACAGACAGACAACACAACGCAGTATGCTCACCCATCCTCATACTCGCTCCGTACAAGTTCATACGGACCGTTAACCTGATTTGTAAACAGTATAATAACAGTCAGATAGCATTCATCATTTCACTTTGTACTTTCTTAGACTTATATAAAAATAAAACATATAATGATTTTCTTCTGCAACACAAGACGGATTAAAAATATTTTCAACAATTTTTTAAAACTCTGTGCCCGTGTTGGCGCCTCCAAAAACTGGCGCCCGGGGCTCATGCCCCGCGTGCCCCCCCTAGTTACGTCCCTGAGTACAGAACAGACCCGTGGCTACAGGGAAATTGCTATAAATAGACTAAATAAACGGTATCAGCAATCTGACACATACTTTCTCCGATTAGCTTGTCCACAACCTTTTCCATGACAAGCGGTGGGAGTAAATACATGGTATTTATGGGTAAAATCACAAGAGTTGCAATTATTTTTACAACATTTTTACACCATTGGGGGAGTAAAGAAGTAAGAAGTAAAAAGGAATATCTCAGACTGCCTGATAACTGGACGGTCTGGACTAGCACAATGCCAGATTATAAAGATTTAACTAATTGTGTTAGCAGTTTTTTTTAAAGGAATTGATTGTTTTATAACAGTATTAGGCTAAAGCGAACTGAGGAGTGCCAATTCTATACTTCCCAATGCTGTGAAGTGAATAAACAAATAATTCAAAATATACACTCAACAATAAACTAATATTACCTGCTTCAGGTTTCTTTTTCAGTTCTGCAGGGAATAGAGTTGAATATCGTGGTCTAATCAAATCTGAAAGTTAAAAATTAAAATATTAATAAATACACCAACCATTATAACATACATTTAATGAATATGAGAACCAATTATTTATAACAAATTACTTTATTAAATGACAAAAAAAGTTATTATTTTTTACACCAATAAACGGTATCAGCAATCTGACACTTACTTTCTCCATCACACACACAAACATGCGTACGCAAGCACAGTCATCACTTCAAAAACCATTGTATGTTTTTTAGGGGGACCTCATACGGATATTTCCACCAGTAACTCAAATTCAAAAATGTTGATGAAAACAACATTTGTAGGCCTATCTATATACTAGGTATAGGGGGAGAAAGTAACAAGATTTAAACTTTTGTCAGAACAGAATTATTATAACTAAAATTAAACCATGATTGGTATATTTGACTCTTATATTAATTATTAATGGGTGGTATTGCTTGTAACAGCAACATTGTGATTATAGATCATGGATTCTTCATAAACTTTTAACCTACTAGCATCTTTGAACTTACACATTATCCTTTTTGGCTCACCTTTAGCGTAAGATATTTATTTTATAAGCTCAGACCATAGGCAATATTAGGTTGGGCTAAACGTTGGCTTTATATATATATACATATATATATAAATAAAATTATAAATAAAACTTGAAACTATGAGAACCATAGGTGTAAATTTACACCAGGTGAAACTTTTATTAATCTGCAATGGATACATTCAAATTATGACTCAAAATCAGTGTTTCCCAATCTTTTTTCTTAGTGTAACACTTAACAAGACAACAATATTTTGCGTACCATTTAGTCAAATCAAGTAATTATTTAAGGGTGGAAGGGTGGTTTTATTTATTGTAGGGATGGACGAGATTGGATTTTTAGTTCGAGACGAGACGAGACGAGATTTTTTATTTCTCATAAAATTTCGAGACGAGATCGAGACGAGATTTCTCTTCTCATACACAACGGGAAATGCACGTTCGAAATTTTTACCTGATTTTGTAACATTGTTAGATGACTGTTTAAATACTAAAATAATGATAATAGGCAAGAATATTTACAATCTTTCATTAAATAACATCAGCATAACATTTTTTTATTAATCACGCCTAACTTATTAAAAATGCCTACGATTAGGAAACATGGTGATATCAGTTAGGATAGAGTTCAACTTATCCTAAAATAAAATAAATCATAAAATAAAAGCAATATTAATTTTTATAAAATAGTTACTTGTTTTGACTTTTTTATAGTAATAAAACATTCCTCACACTGCTTACACTTAACAAAACTTCTCAAATGTTATTAAAGTAATGTTATTAAAATAATGAAAGTAATATTTACATTAAAAGAATTAATTAAACAAGAACGCCTTTGAAAAGGAAACACAACTACAACACGCTCCTGTATTGCGGGTATTGCATTGACTTTCTGCAGGCGTTTTTAATTTTTTTTTTTTTTTTTTTTTTTTTTTTTTATTCTCGTCTCGATAAAAATCTCGGCCAAAAAGTAATCTCGTCTCGTGTAACGAGATTGAAAATTTCCCGAAAATTTCCCGAAATTTCGAGACTTGACCATCCCTAATTTATTGTTTTGCTTACCTAACTAACCTATTCTCCACCACAAGTACAATATTTCCTGGAAATTATATTTTTGCATCTAGACTGAAGTACAAAGCACCATGGGCAAGTTTTGAATTCGCTGATAATACTCGAGTGCTAAAATTTAAAGTAAATCACTTAGTTTTTACTAACAGCATAATCTCGTCTTTATCTTGCTGACAAAACGCAGTTGCCGATGGATTGTAAATGAATACTGACACACCAGTCCAAGGAATCCTGACATATATACATATAATACTCATACTTGGAACGTCACCAAATACTACTGCAGTGGTTTACCACAGGTTGGGAAACACTGCTATAAACAAAACAGCGGGAGGACATCTGTACTGGCCCGATAATGACTCCTTTGTGAGTCAAAACCGGTTGCAATTTAGCAACACATTAATCGCATAAATGCAGGCATTTACACCAATTAATTAGACATTAAAACTATAAGAGATTCTTGCCTTGCTATATCTGTTGTATTCAGCATACAGGTCTGATGCCTGTAAATAAAGCTAGAGTGTCTTGTCAATTGTTTTTTAGAGGAAAAAGCATGACATTTCACAAAAATGAACTTATCTGAGCAAGAAAAAGCAACTTACTACTCCAACATTTTCATTACAAATATGTTTCATATTTATTATTCAATAAAACTAGTCCAATTGCACTTGTTTTTAGAAGGGTTAATACTCTGAAATGAAAATCAACAGAACACTAACTGTTGGATTACAGTGGTTAAGCATTTCTTTAAAACCATTTTATCTACGTTATTGTAGGACAAACCCAGAGAAAAATTAACATACTTTTTTCACTTAGGTCTTCTTTCATAATGAAATGAAAATACTTACCAAAGTATTTGAGTGTGAAATCAGACAGCTCTGATTTACGTTGTGACATCAAGATGAGCATTTCTTTTTCATACGCATCATGATTGGTGGCTCGCCAAATTTTAAACTCTTCTTTCAGACACTGTAATTATATGACTAAGTAAATTTACATAGCATATTGCTTTGATAAATGATATAAAAATATGCTCTTTTGAGTAAACAAGAGATATACAAAAACATTTTATCATACACATCTAAAAGATGTTTGCATAACACACTTTCTGAATGATTAAAAAAATAAAACAAAAAGAATCGCTGATTCCTTTAGTTTTGTTTAAGATAAGGATGTGGTTATGGCCATTATAGTTCAGTCATTTTAGGGGAAGAAACCCCGTCTAACTGGAAATAATTCTCTAAATGGTGAAACTTTGCACTTGTGTAGTACTAATACCCAGTAACAACATACCAAAAATCAACATTAGTGCATGCTGTGCTGTGCTGTGATTTTCACTTTCTTGACCATATTTCACAAACCATTGGAAATACAGAATTTTTTTCAACAAAAGCTAAAAAACACAAAAAATAAATTTTTTTGTAACAGCAATATTACTCGTAAATAGAATGTGTCAAGTTAACCTCAGAATAAGCCACGTCCCCAATAACTTTTAGTAACTACCGTCACAGAAAACATACTACTATAACCCAGAATGCCAACCGCTTGGTAAAAAGCATTAAGTGTTTTGAGAGAGCTTTGCCTGTCAATTCGTAGGCAGCGCCACCAGCGTTACTATGCTGAGTGCATGGCAACGCTGGTGGCGCTGCCTACGAATTGACAGGCAAAGCTCTCTCAAAACACTTAATGCTTTTTACCATGCGGTTGGCATTCTGGGTTATAGTAGTATGTTTTCTGTGCTACCGTGCTTATTCAAGTGTAGTGTAATGTATAAACAATACCCTCACAGCAAACCTTCAGCAAACCTTTGTTACAGCAAACCTTCAGACTAAGTGAATTCCCCTTTGTATAATTGGATTTTCAATTAAATCTATTTAAATAAGGTAGTTAAATGCAGATCTCGTTATCACCGAGACAACAACATTTACTTATGGGTTTTGCCAAATCTTGTGTGACAACCAAGCTATCGCCGAGTTGCCGTCATCGCGAATGACGATCTTGTTGTCCGAGATTGCAACATTTACTTACGGGTTTTGTCGCAACCGAGTGTGACGACCATGATATGACTGAGTTGCCGCAATCGTGAATGATAATCACAATATCACTGAGACTGAAACATTTACTCACGGGAGTTGTCACAACTTTGACGATAATCGATTTTGTAGGTACCAATTATATACAAATTGGAACTGCCGCTGAGTTGCAATGACTGAACCATTACTTTTTTTAAATACGGCTTGATAACAAATGTATGTAGCTCTGGGGACCATTGTTCAATGACTACAGATGTCAGTGTGTCTGCTTTCCAACAAGCCTACCCCCACCACCCTCAGACAACCTGTCGCTGAACAGTGTGCTGTAGAAAATAGATCACTTTTTTGCCACACCCTGTATTAGATTCCAGAAAGTGACATCATTCTTTTATGTTTATGATACATATCGTTTCTGTTCTAATATCCGTGGACGACACCATTGTTGCCACGCTCCGTGATCCCAGTGACTAACGCATCACAACAATGCTGGTCACCAGATGTTCAATGTCATTCATTTTTTGTTGCGGTTCAATAAAGAACTTTTATAATATAGATTGCAGTTCGTAAGAAAACGTTTGGTAGGTAAATAATTAAGAATGAACACTCGATGTATATAGAAGATAAATTGGCTTTACAGCTTAATTAAACGTAGCAAAACTGAAAATGAAGATGATTTACAGATAAAAAAAAATAAGTTATATGTTAGGTTAACTTGAGGTCAAAATTAATAATGTTGTTTTATTTAGATTAATTAAAAATACATGGTTTAACAAAAATTCCCTGCGAACCCCTGTCATTAGGTCCCGAAATGCTCGACCAAAAATAATCTCTGCTTTCGCTTCATTACCCTCTGTCTCTTGAACATATTTTTTAGGCGTCGCTTATATAATCCGTGACTATTGTCTGGTCATGGACTAAGTAATCCTGAGCTTCTGAACCACCTCTTTGAAAGAAATTTACCTTACTTTATCAAGGGTTGTTCTAGAATTAGAGCAGAAGTTTTTTTTTATTTCTTTTAACTGGTCAAATATATGAAATATAGGCTAATTTGGAAGATATAACAATACTTGTTGCAGCATTGTAGTGTCATAGCCTGGACAATAAAGTCGATAAATATAACTTATATTTAAAAAAAAACATTGAAACATTGTCAGCAATTACAATAGTAAGAAGTAACAGTGAAAAATATAACTATTGTACAGTACAGCAAAGATAAAATAAATAATTTATGTACTTAAGTAGCATTTAGAGAGGGTAAAACTCCTATAACAACATACCTTGTCCTGTGCGTCCTTATATGTTCCTTTAGGATGCACCAGCTGTCTCTCACATTTATACAGTTTTTCCAGCATAGAACGACGAGTGAAAATGTCTGCACCTCTTTTATTGGGGTGTCTGTCAGTAATCGGATTTGTGGGGGCAGCATCCTAAAAATAAAGTTTAATATATTACATAAAAATCATTATATACCCAAATAGTATTTTTTAAGCCTAAATAAACTACTGCATAAGTAGGCCTATCTAAATAAATGTTTAAAATATTTAAAAAAATTATGTGTTATTTTGTCTACCAGTAAATTGAAATTATTTATAATAAAGCAGATTAGTGTATATAGTGCTCGCTTGGAAATCAAAATGTTGTTATAGTCCTCGCCACCCTAAGTTGAAGCAGCCCAAGGCCGCACGGCGTGTATCTAGTGCGGCCTTTGGCTGCCTCAACTTAGGGTGGCAAGGACTATAGTTTGGCCCTGAAATAAGTCAGAAACTTAGGATGATTCAAAACTGGACACAGCTCTTCTTAACAATTGGGATTTTTGATTAATTGTCCGGTCTAGAGAAACAACCGGTTTTAGTTAGTAACAAGTCTACACAAGGCATCTTAATCTTCAACACTCATCTTTTTTTAAACTTAATATTTGTAGGAAAATCAACAGTAAGCATTAATTTTACTTAATTGGGTCACGTATTTCAAGAACATGGCCGGATTCAGCACTCTGGCGCCCATAGAAAAAGCAAAAAAAAAAATCTTATAAGGAAATACATGGGGAGCAAATTTTGTTTACATATAAGCCAAGTGGGACTGTAGATAGATATATGCCGAGGCTTGATGTGAAATCTGTGCGTGCATACCTTCAATTTGAGACCTCATTATGAAAATCTGTCGGGTAAAAGAGCCAAACGAACTCGGAAAAGAAAAACCGAAATTAATTCTCATGAGAAATACCCGGGGAGCGAATTTTGTTTACATACAAGCCGAGTGGGACAGTAAATAGATATATGCCGAGGCTTGATGTGAAATCTGTGCGTGCATACCTTCAATTTGAGACCTCAATCATGAAAATCTGTCGGGTAAAAGAACCAAACGAACTCGGAAAAGACAAACAAATTTTTTTTAAATATATATGATAAATAATCAGACACTGAAAAAACAGCTAAAAGCACAAAATGACTACCTAAATTTTGTTATTTACAGTAAGTAATTTAAAACCTCGTTTAACCAAATAAAACAATCTAATCATTAACAATAGCTCATCCCCTGGTTATACAGTATTATAAGAACTTAAAACACAAATCTTAAAATTAACCCTTAAATAAAATTTCGTCGCCACTAGTGCCAGTGTCACAAAAACGAACTAGACATGAATAGCAATCATTAGAATTTACAATGTGATGAGAGGTCTACTTAAGTTGGTTGTCTATGGTGATACTATAGCCTGGTTATGGTACTACTGCATCTAGATTATATTTGCAAAAAAAAGCAAAACATTTTGACCAAATCATACCGATCCACAGGCCTGAGAAGAGAATGTTAGAATTCAAACGACGCTTTGGAGAGTATTTAATCCTTCTATATTTTTTTGTTAATTAGATGTAGGCTACTCATATTTTTCTAAACGTTCAACACAACATATATTTTAACTTGATCCTGTAGGACATTGTAAGCTAAACAAAAGATTTGTTACAACTATCGTTTTGCGGGGTGAGGGTGATAATAATGTCTTGACAATAACATTGGCGTGAGCATGTGCCTCTTATTAAGCAGTCCGAGCAGTAATGGCGAACCAGCATAGTAGCAGTAGACGATGTGTAGGCCTACTGCTCGACAACATCCCTACTGCTATCTCCTTTATTTAAGACCTCAATGTTTATGCCTAGTGTCGAAAAAATAGATCAACTTTACCACAAAATTCATTTGGGAAATTATATACGTACTAAGGTGACCATGGGAACCTATAGAAATTCACATATCGTTAGAAACTAGATTTTTAACTGAAAACAATGGTGCAAAAATGATTCTGCTGTCACAAAAACTGAATAAACTACGATCGTTGGAATTTTATTACTGTACAGTAATACCTCTTGTCTCTGTCACCATTACTATGTTAAGTGAATTGAATACTAACACAAACATGAACTACTGAAAGGATTGTCTAGGGAAGAAGAAGAAACCTAAGACGACAAACATTAAGTTTGTACAAAGAGGACAAAGCGGTAGAGGCATTTGTAAATGCAACTGAATGTTGATAATTGTGAACTAATCAGCTCTTAATTTAGACATGTGAGGTCAGGTGTAATGTGGATTCATGATTGTATTAAGTGTTTTGAAGTTAGGTTAAATTAGGAAGGTAAAGTTTAGGTTATTGGGTTTTTTTTTTATTATTATGTGTATTGTGTTTAAGCCACTATTTTAAAAGTTCAAAAACAGTCTGGAGATAACATAAATCACCAACACGATTCATTATAACCTAAACTTTAACTTCCTAACTTAACTCCAAAAACACTTAATACAGTCATGAACCCACATAACACCCGACCTACCTACCTCACATGTCTTTTCCATCTTATAAAAACAAATTTTTATCTGTTCGAGGAGTTTAGTTGGGTTATGTTTGGTTAGTACAGTATCAATTTGTAATATATCATTGTTTTAAGAAGTTTGGAGATAGATTAAACATATTGGCTAGTCTAGGGTTGGTGAAGTTCGCCACTACACCATTATCATATGGGAAATAAAGTTTACATGGTGAACACCTAAGCTAAGCCGCTCGGTGAAGTGAAGAGAGAAGAACCAAACAAAAAGTATTCCTTCTTAATTTTTCATAATCCAGTCTAGCCAGGAATGAAATATGTCAGACCAAGAGGTGTTTTTTTATATGAATCTTAATTTTAATCAAATATTTATATTGGTACTAGATGTTTTTCACGGCCACCTTTAACTCCAGGCCGAGTCCTAATAGAATTGGCAACGTTGCAAGTAGTATTGTCTAGAGGTCCCATAAGACAACATGGCAGACAGGTGAAACCAGCTCATTAATTCACATATTATTCATTTAAATTTAAATTTATGGACATAAATTTATTAAAAGATTGAAAATAAAACGTATAGAATTGAAAAACAAAACAATGTTTAAATTGAAAATCTATTTTTGTACATTAAATTGGAAAGAAGTTATTCTGAATAAGAAGTTGTTCTGATCAAGAAGTTATTCATTAAATTGGAGCCAATATTTTAATCGCCCAGTAACTAAGCTTTTGTATTCTTCTAAAATAAACAAATACCATTAGCCGCCTCCTAACAAAACAGCTGTTACAACCCTACTTGCGATGTTGCCACTTCGAAGGCCACGGCCTGGAGTTAAAGGTGGCCGTGAGTTTTCACATGTTGAGTTGTTGGGTTGTTAATGTAATATTTGCTTTAAAACTACATAAAATCAATCAATAAATGTGACTTGGGCTATTTATTAACTTTGATTTTAGAGTGTAAAATATTGATATGCAGATCAACGTTCCTAACAACATTAAAATAAAATTCAAACGATCGTAGTTAATTTAGTTTTTGTGACAGCAGAAACATTTTTGCACCATTGTTTTCAGGTAAAAATCTAGTTTCTAATGATATATAAATTACTATAGGTTCCCTTGGCCACCTTACGCTTAATTACGGTAGCCTACCATTATTTGTTCAAAAAAAATTCAAATTCATAATGCTTTATTAGCCAGAAGTTTTGAAAATCAATTCGCAAAATATGCTTTGTGGCTATTTATTTTTATTTCTAGAAATTAGAAAAAAGTTTTCCCTTCGGCCGTGCGGCCCCTGGGAGTTTGCGCCCATGAGCCTACCGGACCTTTTGGGAAATCGGCCCTGATCAAAAAGTGTGAGAGGGTAACCAAATTAAAAATTAATTACAGAAATGCGTTGTTCGAATTTGTATAACACATACAGTAGTTATTATCATATATTTCACACTAATGGTAGGCATAAACTTCGGATCTAAATCATTTGAAGTTTCTCAACAATTACAGATTTGATCACTAGATGTTGTACTCTCAATAGCATCGTCCTCACGATTTTAATTTAGTTATATGTGTCTTAGTGATTTATGATAATCATAATAAATTTGCAGTAATAAATAGCCAAATTATAGTCTATTATTATTATTTAAAAAAGGGTCGAGAAAAAAAAACCCAAGGTGATGGTGGGTCGCCAGACCAAAAAGTTTGGAAACCGCACTTTCGCACTACCGGGGGATGTAGACAGTAAGAATGAAACATATTTTGTACCTTTTCCTTAACTTACTAGTTTTTAAAGCAATAGATTATGGGGTAGCGGATTTTTATCCCCCTGGAATTTTACCCCCTGGGCAAATGTGACGTCACAAACCAGGGGTAAAATTCCGGCCGTGAACTTTTGAGTTTTGCGACATCAGCTCGATGGATTAAACGTGGAATTAAACATATATTTTCACTAATCAGAACACATCAAATTATAAAAACCTAGAATGTACGGCCCGGATTTTTACCCCCGGAATTTTACCCCCTGGCCAGATATATAAATTAGTGAGAATGATTAATTATCTTCATTCAGTTTCAATTTAATAGTAAACATTTTATTATTAAGTAGCCTATCTTAATTTATTTGTAACATTAACTACTCGAACAGGGTTTTAATTTTAATTTTTGAGATTTGAGTATCAGGATTCGATCTTTGAAGCCAACTGTTGGTTAATATGATCAAAATAAAACAGTGAATTCTGTTTAATTAGTTGAGATTACAAAATAAATAAATAAAGATAGGCTACTAAATAATGAAATGTTTACAATTAATTAAAAACAGAGATAAGAAAATCAATCATTCAATTTCTAAAATCAGCCAGGGGGTAAAATTCCGGGGGGTAAAATTCCGGGGGTAAAATTCCGGGGGCAAAAATCCGGGGGTAAAATTCCGGGGGTAAAAATCCGGCCCGTATATCTTCAGTTGTCTAAACGCTAGTTATATGGACAGGGGGTAAAATTCCTGTTTTTATCGCTAATCTAATTAATCACGCTCTGACTATTTTCATTAGACTTCCAAATCCGTGGGGGTAAAATTCTGGCCGCGAACAAACTTTTGGCCACTCAGGTTACTACGTCATAGTGACGTCAGCTTTGCCCAGGGGGTAAAATTCCAGGGGGATAAAATTACGGCGACCCTAGATTATTACATAACCACATTCCATTTTGGTTCAATGGTTCAATTTATTGTAAGAATGAAACATATTTTGGACCTTTTCCATAATTCACTAGTTTTTAGAGCAATAGATTATTAGCAATAGAAGTTGTAGCAAATTAAACTTTGGTTAGGTTAGATTAGGTTTGGTTAATCTATGTTAGAAAAACCTAACCTAACCTAACCACATTTCACTTTGGTAGTGAATTTACGGAAAAGGTCTCATATTTTTATATATTTTCACGCAAACTGCCACACTCAAGAATCCTTGTCTAGTAAATAGCAAATTAATGAGAGACGTCTGTGGTGTAGGCTACTTACTTTGATCTCGGGTGGGGTTGCTACTACTGTTGAGTAGGATTTATTTGGGCCAGAGACTCCAGTCTGCATCTTTGTCGAGCTTTTTAAAATTCGTTGTTTTTCTTCCAGCAGTAGTTGAACGTTGGGTACGCAACCAATTTTGACTCGATCTGAAAATATAATGAACAAATTTACATTTCATCGAAAACTTAAAGACATTAGAGACTTTTTTGTTCAATTATATTTTTTTTTAATTTAATGAAGTCAACATATCCTTTAAAAATTAGAAGATAAAATTAGGACACCCATAGAATTATTGTATCTTTCACATTGAGTAGTTTACACTAACTCCTTTTTAACTTGTTTTTACTGTAAATGGAACAAATACAATATGTGTACAAGTTTTGAGCGTGGGGTAGAATTCACAGTTTAATTAGTTCATTTGGATTCGTGCAAAAAAACATCGTCAACTTATTATCACCATAGATAAGCCCCTTTCTCGCCCTCATTACATTCCCAGCTACAGCCAGATCTGACCAAAGGGATGTACAAGGTGAGTTACAAGTACACAATATATTTGAAATGTTTTAGGCTTCGAATAATTTACAATAAAACATGTATGAGATGTTTTATAATAACCCGGTCATCTGAAAAGTCCATACAAATTACGAAAAGCATGTTGAAAATAAACAAAATAACCATGTACAAATCAAATTAAAGGTTATCAAACAAAGCCAAAGTTAAAATAGTGTATCTAGCCTAATTTTACCTGTCAATTGCCGATTATCCGAATACTTGAATCCCAAATTATTTCCGATAAAAAAAGAGACACCTGTTACGGCGCTCCAACTAGCAGCGCTATCTACAGTATATATTGCCGAACTAGCGCCTAAACCCGCGCGGGCCCGATCACCTGAGGCAGGTTGTACGTCTACATGACTCAAGTCTCCAACGATAAGACTTTGCTGAAAGTGCAAAACACAAATTCCAATAACGCTGGAACAAACTTTATTTTCAGTTTTGTGTTCTTAGAATCACTTTCCGATGCTAGCCTTGCCATGTGAAATATTTGTGCAGTAGCAGTTTATGAACAGATGACAAATAAGTAAATGATAGGAAATAATAATAAACATAATCATTTATTATTGTTCTTTTGAAAATAATTATCCTACATTATAACATGAGAAACATCTGCCTGCAAATTGTTAGAAATATCTTAGTTTAAGTTAAAAACAATATCATGGGCTGTGTTCTGAGAAAATTAGTTATTCGTTAATAATTGTAACATTGGTTTTATGGATTTCCGAGTAGCCACAAACAAAGGAATTGTAACATAATGGGTATAACAAAACATTTATATGCGTATATTGTATAAGATAACAGTACACTGGCAAATTACTAAATAAAGTACAAAAATGCCATAGCTTTTAAAAAGGACTATAATGGATATTCTCTATTTTTAATATGGATTTTATTTTGCCAGTGCGTGTTGAAACCACACATTACTACAAGCCCTTTTGGTACAATGGTTTTTCTGACTTGAGACGTGGTTAAAAAAATGTTGTGGTATAGCACCAAAGCTAGAGTATTATAAAATTTTTATTTTATTTTATCATCAATTGATTTACTACATACTATTGTATTTGATAAATCATAAAAAGAAATCGTAATAAGAAGACGTACATAATTTAGGCCTAAGTTTTATATGTTTAACCTCTCTAAAAAATTATACACCACGAGCAATGGAAGGTCCCCTGGTATTCCCTTTTTTTATTGTAGGCTACGTTAATTCCGAGCAGCATGGATAACGAAGCCTTAATTTTGTGTGTACGAGTGTACAAACAAATATATGACTGCTCCGATCTTCATTATATGAATAATGTCCGGAGGTTTAATGTGTGGCAGGAGATAGCGACAAAGCTAAACAATTTTATCATAGAGTTTCAAATAGTTTTGCGTTTACACTAAAACAGTTTAAAATTTGCTAAAAATTAAGGATTTAACATTTCGGGCCTGACTAAACCGGAGCGGACCGAATCAAGCAAGTGTAGCCAACAGCGTAGCGTAGGCCTACGTACGAAACGTACGTCTACATCGATGTAAACGCGTATACATCGATGTACGAAACACGTGGGCCACGTGGGCTTTATACTATTCAATCAGCGCGTTAATATAAAACCAGTTACAAAAATAGAACTATAGATTCTAAATATAAGCAATCATGGTTATACACTTGGTTTGTTTCTGGGATTTCTATATGAATAAAATAATACTGCAATTGCCGATTGCCACTTTATTTTTTCCACATCAATTACGTTTTTTGGAATTCATGTCAAGTTAACTCAAAACTTCTTAATCAGCATGGTAAATGTTAGGCCTATTAAATTTACGGAAGGTAAATATAAATACCATAACAATAATTGAAACAGATACTTGAACTACATTCGCCTATTGAGTTGAATTGAATGATGAATTAAGTGTCCAATCGGAATTAATCACCACTTACCATATTTTATATTCACCGTACTGTATAAGTATACAATATAGGTGTAAATAAAATTATTAAAATTTTATTGGACGTATTTTTTTATTTACTTTCCTGAGTAAAACTCCGTTACTTTTTTATTGTTAACAAAAAATAAATAAAAAATGGGCTTTGTAGTCCCGTTAATTACGGGAATGAGAAACTCTAATCCCAGGATTTCCAGGTATCGAAAACCGACAAGGGCGACAAGTATCCAGGGATTGCATTGACTCCCCTAGTTATAATATGCGTTTGTGGCAATTTTACCATCTTTGGAGATTTGAAAAAATAGAACTACAAGTGAGAAACTGCTTCGAACTAGGCCTAGCTGTGTTGCTAGAGGCTTACACTCACTGTAGGCCTACTCAAGTTGTCATTCTGAATTTTTAATGTAGCCCTACAATGTGTCCCACGTAGAGATGTAAACGTTTGATTTCATATTACTTTCCCATTTTATGCAGCGAAAATTGCGAAACTACATAATTTATAAAGCAGGGTTTGAAAATATTTTTGCAAAAAGTTCAGCTTTCTAACGTTTGTCAGAAAATGGTGGCATTGGCATTATGATAATTTCACCGACCTGATTCCTATAAAAATTAGTTTCAACCAACACATTGTTACAGTTCGGACGACAGCCGCTTGGTTTTGGTATTGGTGTACTCCTCAGCCACGCACGTGAGGAGTGACAGCGAGCGACCCGTTGGTGTTGGTTGGTGGGGGTTAGTTAGGGGGTTAGGGGTGGAGCAAGGCGCGGCGGCCGTGGCCTTGGCGTGGAAAACACGCGCTGCGCTTGCACTACTGTAAAGCCGCGCTTACACCCGAGTTTAGAATAAACATTTTTGGAACTTTTTGTTGGTAACACTTATTTCTAAAACAAAAGTTTACAACAGATAGTGCACTTTTCTTTTATTTTGTTGGAAACAATTTAATCACCGTTCCCAAGAACACAAGGTCAGTCCCTCTTGAGATAATCACGTGGTGGTGGGTAGCCGCGAAGGGGGGGGGGCGTGAAAGTGCTCTAAACAGTGAAGAAGTACAGAAACATTTGTTCCAAAACCTTTCCTTATGTTTGGAACACCGAACACCTTTTGATCCGACTTCTGGTGGGAAACAAATTGTTTGTTGCAAACACAAAAAAAACTGTTTCCAACATCAAAATCATTCTGTTCCAAAAGTAATGTTTCTTGTTTTTAGGAACATTAGCTGTAAACACGTGTTCCTAACTCCGGCGTAAACGCGAAGCTCTGCCTCTGCTGAATCGGCACCACAATGCAATGTATGCTAAATAAAATCAATAGATTGGTGCGAAAAACACCTGAGTAAATGCGGAAAAACTGCCGCCGGTGATGACTTCATCCGCACAACCCTTACCCCAAAATAGGTTATTTTGGGACAGCTCAACAATTTTCCATATAAAGTTCTTAGTTTAAAAGAATATCGGTGAAAACTAGAGGTCTCTATCTCAAACAATTATAATTACAGAATGGCTGCCGTTTTAATTTTTCATTGCCCTGAGATTAAAGCCCAATCAAGTGACACTCATTTTGAAGGTCATTGGTTTAAAAGAATGTGTGCGAAAACTAGAGGTCGCTATCTCAACCCAATACAAAATGGCGACAGTTTTTAGTTTTCATCAACCTCAGAGATCCCACTCAAAAATATACATTAACATCTTCTATTGCATTTTATCGATTTGTACCAGATAAGCTTATCACCCCATAAGAAAAACAGTGTACTTTTTAGTTGGTATTACAGTTCCCCCTGGGAACCCAAAATTAAGCATATTGATATTGGGGCAGCTCAAAAACGTTAAATGTAATCCCTGAAAAATAAAAACTGTCGCCATTTTGTACTGGATTGAGATAGGGACCTCTAGTTTTCACCGTTATTCTTTTAAACATTCTTTTAATGACATTTGAAATGAGGTGCCAGTTAATGGGGCATTACATTTACATTTTTGAGCTGTCCCAAAAATAACCCATTTTGGTGTTTTGGACGAAATCGGATACCTACAAAAAAGTGTAACCCATTAAAAAGCTACTAGGAGGCCTACATACTTTTTACCAAGTACAGTGGTCCCGCACCTAGGTCTTACAATGCCACCTACGGTAATTAACGTCTTTCCCAAAAAATTCAATTAGCTAAAATGTGGGATATCTGGGATAATGGGATGTTGTGACACATATATACATGCACTTTTTTCTTGTCTAGAGACCTCTGGACGAAAAGTTATAATGGTCCCGTGCCTAGGTCCTACCGCACCACCAATAATATCTTCTTTCTTACAGAACATTCTCTAAAATCAAAATATAAAACCATTCAAGTACAAAAAGGAATATTTTATTTTGGTTCGTTAAAAAATTGTTCATTTTCCAGTGATAACCAAGTTCTTTCATTGGTCGGAGGGATGTAAACGTATGTACATTTTATCTGATTAATATTATTTGTCATGTGTCATGACTCATGAGATATTATTATTAAGATAGTTATAGTGTAATAAACTAAATATACACATTTTGTAAGTTCTGAAAATTCCGCACATAAAATAATGGTAGAGGTATTAGATAATGGCGGCATGCATTGGCGACAATTCTTTAAAGTTGGCCGGCGCGCCCCGCCGCTTTGGCGGGCGGCGGGCCCCTGTGC